TAGCTAAGTCAAGAGCAGCAAAAAGCTAGCTAAAAGGAGCAATACACTAGCTAAATCCAAATGTAGCAAAAAGCTACCCTAATTAAAAGTTAAATGTAGCACAAGGCTAGCTTCAAGCTAAAAGTAGTGAAAAATAAATAAAAACTGAAATGGTCAGAAAGACAGCTAAATGTAGAAAAAGGTAGCTAAAAGCTAAACGTAGCAAAAGAGTAGCTAAAATTCGCATAGGAAGTCAAAAACAGTTAGTTTGCTGAAGCAGAAATAAAATGTTTTTAAAGGAATAAGTTACAAAATACACAAGTCAGAGCATCATCTCCTAAATGAGCCGAACGTTTCGATATATGAACGGCTAAAATAGCACAAAGTGTAAATTTTGTTAAGTTTTAAAAAAACAACAACGTATCGATAAATAAAAACCAGGAAAACAAAAATGTAAACTTTGAATCTATTCACAGTAAATAAATCTCTTAGTGGACAAAAATACGGTGTTCCTGTTTAAATCCGTTTATTAGCAGCAGATTGACGGGAGTTTAGTTTAGTGTGAAAACCACTTTAATAAATTCATAAATCCGTCTTTAAACTAGCTCAATAAACTTTCATCGTAAATCTCACAACTTTGACATTTGGCTGTTACTTCTGAGCAGAAGTGTTTTTTTCTGTTTCTTCGTCCCGGTTATGTAACGTGTGTTCTGGTTTCGTAACAACTCTGATCCGACCGGTTCTGTTGACTCTGACTCGGGTCACCAGGACCCGGGTTTATCTCTTCGCTCGCCTGCTTTCATCTGAATCATGTTTTTGATTTGAACTCAGGCTTTTGTGCTTTCTCTGATTTTTAAATCCATTTAATTTATTTATTCAATTTTCCAACTGAAATATTCAGAATAAACCAACGGACCGTGGACTCCAACTCTTCTTCTCTGGTTTTTCTCCGTCTGTAGGTGAGCGACAGAGGTGGTGGAGTCCCGTTCCGTAAGATCGAGAACCTTTTCAGCTACATGTACTCCACAGCTCCTGCTCCTCAGATAGGAGACCACTCCAGGACGCCGCTGGTAAGAAAACAAACATTCTGGATGTTGTTTTTATTTATTTGATGATTATTTTCATAATTTTGAAGGATAACCGTCAAAATCTGCGTCATCGATACAAAATTATACACAAGCTGACTATAAACAGGAACAGGAAGTAAAAACAAATCTATATAAACTGTGTTTTTTATTTTATAATTTAAAAAAATAAAAGCATTTAATCAACTTTATTTAAATATTTTCAGGTAACTAAACTATAAATCTTAATTAAATTGTAAAGTATATAATCCAAATTAGATTATTTAACTTCTTAATTGAAAAATATTTAAAATAATATAAATGAAATGCCTAATCTTTCTCTGCAGGCTGGTTTCGGCTACGGCCTCCCCATCTCTCGCCTCTACGCCAAATACTTCCAGGGCGACCTGCAGCTTTACTCCATGGAGGCCTTCGGCACGGACGCCGTCATCTACCTGAAGGTGAGCCGAAGGTGGAGGTGAAACCTGGTGACAGGTTTTAAACCCTTTAGCTCGCAGAACGCTGCGGGCCCAAAAGCTGCTGAAAAATGTTGAAGAAGCTGAAACTGAGTTCTTAAAATTAAAACAGGGAGAACAGTAGCTGAAATAAGATCAGACCCTGGCTAAAAAGGGCAAAACCTTTGCTAAAAGAGCACTAGCTAAAAGAACAGTAGCTAAGAGGCAGACCCTTAGCTAAAAGAACACCAGCTAAAAGAAGAACACTAGCTAAAAGAGGCAAATCTTTAGCTAAAAGAAGAACAGTAGCTAAAAGAGGCAGATCCTTAGCTAAAAGAACACCAGCTAAAAGAAGAACACTAGCTAAAAGAGGCAAATCTTTAGCTAAAAGAAGAACAGTAGCTAAGAGGCAGACCCTTAGTTAAAAGAACACCAGCTAAAAGAAGAACACTAGCTAAAAGAGGCAAATCTTTAGCTAAAAGAAGAACACTAGCTAAAAGAGGCAAATCTTTAGCTAAAAGAAGAACACTAGCTAAAAGAGGCAAATCTTTAGCTAAAAGAAGAACACTAGCTAAAAGAAGAACAGTAGCTAAAAGAAGAACAGTAGCTAAGAGGCAAACCCTTAGCTAAAAGAACATCAGCTAAAGAAGAACAGTAGCTAAAAGAGGCAGATCTTTAGCTAAAAGAACAACAGCTAAAAAAAGAACAGGAGCTAAAAGAGGCAGACCCTTAGCTATAAGAACACTAGCTAAAAGAATAACAGTTGCTAAAAGATGCAGACCCTTAGCTAAAAGTAGGGAAATGCTGCCAAAATGTCATAAAAAAGCAAAGCACTAATTCAAAGCTAAAAGTAACATAACGTTGGCTAAAAGTTGCTAAAAACTAAAAATAGAAGAACAGTAGCTAAACATATAAAATATAAAACAACTAGAACGTAACGAACAGAAGTATCAAAAAGCTAGTTAGAAGCTAAAATAATAAAATGCTTGTTTAAAACTTAAAGTTGCTAAAATTATCCTAACAAGACCAAACCAGCGTGTTTGCTGAAGCAGGTTTCGGAGAAGAATGAACCGAAGACGTTAGATGTTTTGTTGGGAAATCATTTGTAAATACAGTTAAATATTTTTCAAAGTCTAAAAGGAACAGCCGAAGTCTCCTGAATGAGCCGAACGTTTTGACGGACGTCTGTTTGTAAATCTGTTCGTTGCCCCCGCAGGCTCTGTCCACGGACTCCATCGAACGGCTGCCGGTCTACAACAAAACCGCCCTGAGGAACTACAAAATGAGCCACGAGGCCGACGACTGGTGCGTTCCCAGTAAAGAACCTCTGGACCTGCGAAACTTCAAGACGGCCCAGTGAGGGTCTCTGCGTGCACCGAACTGACGCTTCGCAGCTAAAAACAGAATTAAGTCCCTGCGGTCCCGCGACGTCTCCTGCAACCAGAGCAGGTTTCAGCCTGTCCCTTTCAGCTTGTGCCACCTTTCTTTTGGTTTTTAACAGACGCATGTTGGTTGGAGGAAGCAGCTCGACAGAGAGGGCGGAGTCATGTCATTAACGGGGGAGTGGGCGGAGTCAATGGAGGAGGCAGCGCCCAGCGTGTTACGGGCGTTTGAAGTAAATTAGAATCTGAGTGGACTCGTAAAGTGAAAAGAGGACGTAAAGCCCCGAGAAGGTCCGAGGTGTTCCACAAGCAGAACCAGATGTGCAGCCTGGCAGCAGCAAACCCACCCAAAGGCTCGGGCTGTTGGAATACTTGAACCGTTAATCTAAGATTTGCACCTTGTTCAATTTCTCTTGGTACTGTAAACTGTTTTTAAACATTTGAACAACTTCTGTTTTTGCATTTCTTTAATGTTTCTGCCAAACGGCTGACGGTGTTGTCGGCGTTCTGGACCAGGCTGATCGTAATCCTCCCGTGTTTTTGTGTATTTTTTTGTGTTAGGATTATAATCTAGAAACCGCAGCTCCGCATGGACCTGAGTTTTTACCCGCCAAGTGTTTTCCAGCCTTGTGGAGGCTGAGTTCACGTGTTATTAAGCTCAAGGAGGTGCTTAGTGGCTCAATACAGCCAGTGTCTGTTTTTATTTTTTACTCCGTGCCAAATGAGAACGTCTCGGGTCCAGATGTGTTCAGAACAGTTCGTTTGTCTACGTCTCGCAGATAAAGTTTTTTTTATAGCCACACTTTTGTTTCTGACTGAAAATATTGTAAATACTGTAAATAAAAAGAGAACTACCTGGAATCTGAGTGTTGTTTTTTGCTTGCAGGAATCCTGCCGTTTAGTTTCCCTGCATCTGGACTTTGTGTTGCCAGACGCTTCAAAACAAAACAACTTGCGGGAGTTTTGCTTTGCTTGCTCCTCTGAGGCGGGTCGTGGTTTTCCTGCCGTTTCTGGACCAGAGCCAAGTGAGGCAGAGGTTAGAAACGAAACGGCTGAGGCCGTGTCTTACGGCTGTTTAGCGTTCAGGGCATGTGAGGTTCACGCAGCCGAAGGCTAACCGCCTGAAACTGGGCTAATAATAGCTGAACCCTCTTGGCTCCTCCTGCCAAACGAGGCAGCAAACGTTTTTAAATTAGCTGTTACACGTTTGTTATTTTAACAGTCAAGTTTTGACCTGAAGGGACATTTTTAAAGTGGGAGTTGTGAGTAGTTAGTGTCTTACCTGCAGGAGAAACTGTTCAAAAGTGAATTTCTGTCATCTTTACTCAAACTCAAAGCTTTCGTAGCAAAATAATGTTTTACAAGTCATTTTTTAGACGATTTGATCAAGACGTTTTGATATTGTTACTATTTTTATACAGTAATTAACGTGATGTTTTAGGGTCAACAATTAACAGGCTTTAAGCCCAAATAAATTATAGTTTTGTCATTTTGTCCACAACAAATCAATTTGTTTTTATTCATGTGAACATCCACTCAGCACCGTGTGGTCCGACCAGACAGACCAGGCTCTCTTCATCTTAACCGACATCCCACCCTGTTGGACAAAACATTTCAATGACCATTTCCTATCTGGCAACCCTGACGTGTGTAGACCTCCAGTCCTCCTGGTCTGAATCCCAACAGCAACTTCATCGTTTGCTGTGGTGCAACAATATCTGAGCATCGCATGAGAGCGCACAGAACATTATTATAAGGCGGCGGGCGACATTCAGTCGAGGAACGCTGGGCCTTTAATTCTAACCAGTTCTGCAGCACTTCGTTTTTGTGTGTCTCCCAGTTCTTCTATTTGGGTTTAAGGACAGGAAACCAGTCCAAGTGTGCGTGTTTGGTCGGGGTAAACAGATCAGCTGTTGTTGGCCTGTTTGAAACCGACTCAGGATTCATTCGAAACAAATAAATCAGCAGGAGGCCGAAGAAAACTCCAGCTTGTATTTTGTACGATGATTTACTTCAGGGGTTCGTAAATACTTCAAGAAATAAGACCAGTAACTTCAGTTCGTGCAACATTTTTATTTTTACGTCAATGTTTCTAAATGTTTCTCACCGTGGAGATCCGGTACGTTTCAGCACTTAACGTGATCCACACTTTTTGTGCCATTTCTTGGCTTCAGGAATCAAAATGTTCAGCTTATTCAGAACTCTTCTGCTAGTTGTGCAGTTTATACTTTTTGAAACATTTAGCTGTTTCGGCCACGTTTTTCTCATTGAAAATGAACAGAGCTCTCATCCTTCCAGACTTTGTGCTGTTTGACATTTTACTGCTCATTTCAGCTTTTCTTCTGCTTCAGCTGTTTTTTTTAAGCTTCTTTCTGCTAATTTTAACTTCCTTATATTCATTTCAGTTTTTTTCTACTTTTGCGGTCCAGACTTTAGGCTCCTTTTAGGTTTTATTTCTGCTAATTTCAGCTTTTTTGTTCTTTTTTCCGGTTCTTCCTGCTAATTTCAGCTACATTTTAGGTATTTTTTTTTCAGGTATTCGTAACTCTTTATCTGTTTTTATTTGTCATTGTTGCTTAATTCCACGCTTTGCGCTTCTCTTTAATCATTTCAAATTTTTTATTCTCCTTTCAGCTTCTTTTCTGCTGATATCAGCTGTTTTTGGCTACTTTGGTGTAAATTTCAGCTTTATTTTCTCCTTATTTTCCTGCTTTCAGCAAACGTCAGCTGTTCAAATTCACCTGGCATCAGCAGTTTGACGATGAGACTTTTTCAGCCGAGTTTCAGCTCCTTCAGCAGCTTTCAGCAAACATCCTTCAGCAATGAGCATTTGCACTGCACTTTTGCAGGAAATGCATTTTCTCTGGTTATTTATGTCGTTTACTTGAAATATATCTGCCTGAACAAAAACTGCAGTCAGTCACTTTAAAATCAAAATTAAAATCACAAGAAAATTCCCGTGTTTTGAAAACTGAACGCGTTTTTATAATAATTAATATTAAATTACTCGTCAAATATAATGGCATCGTCTTGATTTAGTTACACACAATAAAATCTATTTTTATTTGAACAAAAACAACTTTCCCTCCAGTATTAATAAGCAAACCATAAAAGTTTGATTATAACTCATAATTAATAGTTTAAATAATTAGAACAAAATGATCTAAACATTTTTAAATTAAGACAAAAAAAAGTCAATAGGCAGTTAGTTTAGTTAGTTTAGTTAGTTTAGTTAGTTTAGTTAGTTTAGTTAGTTTAGTTAGTTTAGTTAGTTTAGCCTAATATTAAATGTTTCTGGTCCGTTTGCTGCAAATAAAACACAACTTGATAAATAAGCTTATTTATATACTTTATTTATTTTTTTCTCCCACTGTCACAAAAGAAAGTACAGCAAAGTATTTGCCTCTGTCTGTGTTTGTTAGCAAAATATCTCATGAACAACTGGGCAGATTTTAATGACTTAATTTCTGACTAACGTTTGGAGTCAACCACAGATTAACTTAATCTGATGTGAGTTGATAATCTGGGCAGTTATATTATTCTCAGGCTCCGTGTGTTTTTGTTGTTGTGCAGCTGCAAGGGTCATGCGGCTCCATGTTTTCCTGCTCCAGCAGACGAACAGCAGCTGATCTAAACCCGGCCTCCGAGCTGTTTACTCAAAGCCGAGCCAGCAGCTCTGCGTCCATCGAGGAGTGGAAAGAATCCAGTGGTGTCCTCCTCCTTATCACACAAAGGGACAGATTAACGTCCCGTAGCAACAGGGACGGAGGCCAGAGGACACCGTGCTCAACAGCACGTGGGCGTGTTGACGTGTGCTGCATTCCTGAGCCCGTGCAGGATGTTCACGTGACGACTCTGTGTGAGTTTAGTAACACGACACGGAGTTTGGTACCTGGAAATATGAGGAAAGTCTGATGAAAATAACTAAACATGCACTGAAACAAAATGATTAATGAGTGGAACACGAGCTAAAAGTTCAAATTAACAAACCAGACAAAGACAAAAGTCAAATCAAATGTTTAAAAGAAACAAAATCATAGAATGTAACTTAAAACTCAAAGTAGCTAAACTGTAGCTAAAAGATAAAGTCACAACATGGCTAAGCTAAAAATAGCTAAATAGTACTCAAAGCCAAATGTTGCAAATCAATAGCTAAACCTCTAAAATCTGAAAGAACCAGAACGGTAACTAAAGGCCAAATGTAGCAAACCTTAGCTTAAAGGTAAATGTGCTAAAATAGCTTTTAAAAGTTAGAAGTAGCAAAATAAACTTTAGCTAAGGTTAAAGTTGTAGTTAAATACTAAAAGCAAAAGAAAGCAAATATATCAAGTATGTAAAATTAGATATAAAATAGTACAAATTTCTAAAATATCTGTCTTCTTTTTAGCCATGTATTAGCTTCTTTTAGTTTTCAGCTATCATTTAGCTACTTTTAGCTTTTAGTCAGTCTTTTTATAGTTCACTTGATTGACTTTCCGCTAGACTTTTAGCTAGCCTTTTGCTGTTTTTAACTAGCATTTTGCTACTTTTTGCCCATCGCTTCTTGATAGCTTTAGCTTCCAGCTGCAGCTTAGCTTTTAGCTGTTAGCCAGCCTTTTTCTTTGTTTCCCAGGGCTTTATCATCGCATTATCTTCTGGAACTGATGAAGCATCAAAGGTGATTTTCTTTTTAGCCTGAAAACGTGTGGATGTGACATCGGAGGCGAACACCGTGCAGGTGAGCTGTTAGCCGACTTTAAGCTTAGTTTGAGAGAAATGTGAATACGAGACGATAAACGAGCGCCATGAATCTCAGAGTGACCTACAGCCGTCACTAATTTGATGTTGCTGGGCCTCCATCATCCTTACAGCTGTCAGACAGTTCGGCTGCACATCAGCTGAACCCTGACTCCACCAGAAGCCTTTTGTTTTTACCACAGACGTGCATTTTAATGCAGCTACAGGGTTTTCAGCTGCACTGTGGACAGTGAAGATTCTGCAGGAGCTCCAACTACTTCCTGCGCTTCCAGCAGTTATTTAAAAAAAAGAACTTTTAACCATTTTCCCCAGAAAAATGTGAATTATTAGAGCTTTGCTGCTCAGTTTGAAACTCCACTGTCGCGCTCTAGTGGTGAGTCTTCAAAGTCTGAGTGGCTCCATGAAACCAGGCTCAGCAGAACTTCCTGCATGTGAGATGTTCTGACCCATTTTGGAAACAAAAATACAATATGTAGATGTAATTAAAGTATCTCCCCCCCCAAAAAAAATTTAAAAATAAATAAACGTGAGAAAAATTTGGACATTTTTTCCAAGTCAAGTTGAATCTTTAAACAATTTTTAAATTGAAAATTTGCAACGCATTTTCCTACTAAAACCTCGTTTTTAAAGAAGTTGGGACAATGTGGGAAATAAAAACTCTTTTGTCGAAAAAAGCAATTCCCAAAACAACCAGGTGCAGATTTCATTAGATTTATTTACTAAGCTTTGGTCGTCAATCACAGAAGATCAATGCATTTACAAAACTTATCAACGCTTTCACTGAGGTTCTGACCCATTCTGACTCCCTGAACAGAAAAAAAAAAATCAGTTTAATAAAAAACATCCGGCCTCTGGTCCCTCCGTACCCTGTCCATCTTTAACAGAACCCAGCTGCAGAAGCAGGAGAAACCTCTGGAACCACGACACCAATCATATCAATCAGACGTTGAGGGTAATAAACATCTCAAGCTGACCATGTTGGTCACATGAAGACAGAGTAAAGATCGTCACATTTTAATTTAATTCACAATAACGGTAAAAGAAGAGTGCACAAATTACATCAAGTGAATTTATGGAGCAGGGTGAGTACAAATAATCCACATTCCCTGGTCAGCATTCACAACGGAACAGAAACGGTGATGACTGGTGAACTTTCGATCAACCAGAGCCCAGAGTAGTGCCCACTGAAAGACTCAACCTGGAAAAGTTCATTCAATGACGTGATGAGCCAGAGACCAGGAGATCTGCAGGGAAAACGAGAACGTCTCAGAAACCTCCTGACTGCCACTGCCAGGCTTTGAGGGAGGCTGCAGGAGAGCGGTGTTCAAGGGGACCATCAGGATCCACGAGACAGTGGAGCAGGCGCTGAGAAGCCAGGAGTCTGAGGAACTGTTTGTCTTACGGGCGTGGAGTTCAGGAGGTTCCGGGAAATATTTTACCCACTTCTTCCTTTCCAGATCGCAGGGGTCACTGGTGCCCATGTCCAGCCATCAATGTGCGAGAGGTGGGGGACACCTGGACAGGTCTCCAGTCCATCACAGGGACACGGAGACAAACAACCATTCTCTCTCTCTGTCTCCTAGGGACAATTTAGAGTCACCAGTCAGTCTAACGTGCATGTTTTTGGTCTGTGGGAGGAAACTGGAGTACCTGGAGAGAACATGCAAACTCCACCCAGAAAGATCCCAGGCGGGGATTTGAACCTGCAACCTTCTCACTGAGAGGCAGAAGATCTACTAACTGCGCCACCGTGCACACTCTCTGTTGACTACTTGCCTTTTTATAGCACTTTCTTATTCAGCAGCATGATGGCTCAGTGGTTAGCACTGTTGCCTCACAGCAAGAAGGTCCTGGGTTCAATCCCCGGTTGGACTTGGGTCTTTCTGGGTGGAGTTTGCATGTTCTCTCCGTGCATGCGTGGGGGTCATCTGGTTTCCTCCCACAGACCAAAAACATGCATGTTAGACTGACTTCAGGATCTATCTCTCTCTCTCTCTCTTGTTTGCAACAGACAACAGGTCTTTATTTTTTGGATAATCTGGACAGAACTGACTTTCTTTCAGATTCAGATGTAATAATCAAAAACGAGAAACTGCAAAGTATTTTTGTTAAAACACTTGTTGTTCCCAGCTGGAGTCAGTTGTTGCTCAGAAAATGATACTTTAGTGAACTTTATTTACTGATGTTATAAAACTGAAAGGCAGATGAAAGTTTTTTTTTCTTCCCCAAAGAAATATAAATAAAATAAGTTCTATGCGACAGTTTGAAGATTTTTTTTCATCAAATTTATATTTTGATTAAGTTATTACTTTTTGTTTGTTTCAGATTTCATGCCATCTCAGTTTACATTTTTAATATTTTCAGTTTTTTTTAATGAATTAAATAAAAAACAACTTTTGTCAAGAAATTAAGTTTTAATTTAAACAATAAACCTTCAGATTTAGACAAAAATGAAAGAAACTGCTGATAATCAATTTTTTTTTAATTATTTTCACTATTTATTTGATTTTTTACTCCTAAATTCTGAGTTTTCTGTCCCTTTGTCCTGATCTAAAAATAAAATTCCCCTTTTCTTTAATTATATTAGTTATTTATTTGATCCTAAAAATATGACAAATTAAAGTCTTCTTTCAGTTTGAATATTTTTTTATTTCCACTCATCTTCTGGTAACAGCTATGCTAAAGTTCAAGCCGTAATGAGGAAAAAGCAAAATTTAAATATTTTGAGTAATAGAAAATAAGTGTTATTAAAGCTGTAGACAAACATGTAAATAAAAATATCATAGAAATTGAAAATAGATCATCTTTGTAGATAAAAATATAACTTTAATCATAGTTTTGGCTAATTGTCTGGACCAGCAAATAGAATAATTTGACCAAGAGTGACTCTCAGCCACTACCACACCAAACTTCAGCACAATTTTGGCCAATTTTATTGATTTATAGCCCTTTTTGTGATACTTAAATCTGATTAGCTGTGGCAGCCATCTTAAATGGGGTTGACACCAAAACCTGATGAGCTGTAATGTCCACCCAGAGATTGATTTCTGAAGTTTATTTCAAATCTGTCCAGTGGTTCATGACATATTTTACCAACAGGCAGAGTTGACCTAAAGAAAGCTCTCAGAGGCTCATATTGTGCGTTGGGGCTCAGTCTCAGCTACTACCACACCATATTTTAATTTAATATATCCAAACCTGACTCAAGTTTGGCCATATTTTAAAAAGTTGACCTTCCTGGTGTTGGGAATTGCAGTTGCATCTGTTTAACACAAGATGGCGCGCTAACATCAGCTGATGGTAGACCAGCTGATCAAACTTTATTCTAAAACCTAAAGTTTAGGAAGGAACCTCAAGATTCAAGGATTTCCTCCCCAACACGCATTAAGCTTTATTCGTTTATTTCATTGCTATTCGGCTCCATTTTTTTTTTTCCTTTTATGGCATCAGAGGGCGCCATTAAGTTTAATAATATGCCGTTTTCTTTGCTTTTATTTACGGCGCCCCCGTCATTGCTGAAATATGCCAGAAAACCAGAGAAGCTGCGGTGATGTAGAAATATTTGCGATGCTTTTCAGCTGACTCGGGCTGACTGGGGTTGCCAGATAGAAAATCGCGACATGCTGTCTGGCTGATCGGATAAAACTTTTTTTAAAGTTATGTGGGTGTTCACGTAGTTAATTAGAGTTTTTACTGAATGGGAAAAAAACCCAAAAACTATCGTGTAGTTGGGATTAAAAAAAAAAATCCTCTAGGAACACTATCCTGCCTATTTAAGTTGTTTCTCAGCTCCAACACACCGGGTTCAATGATTTGATTATTTCCTCACGTTCTGGAGAAGTCAGTTAATCACCTATTCATTCAAACCAGGTGTATCAAACAATTAAAATATGCTGGATAGCCTTCCTCGATGACCAGTTGAAACCTTGAAACCTTCGTACAAACGCAATAATTATTGTGTATTTGGCAACACTGATGACCGGCGCCTCCTTATAGACTGGGCGGTGAAAAGGGCGGGGCTTCTGAACACATGCTTGGATCTGATTGGTGGAGAGCCGGTTCGGCGCAGACAGGACACAAACACGAAAGGAAACGGTCAGAGCTCGCGCACGGTGTGTGGCGGTGTAACGGGACCGGGACAGTTCGGATCGAAGAGGGAACTTTGGACATGAGGATATTTGTCGGGGGGGCATAAACTTTAATTCAAAACAGGAAAATAAGGTTTATCCCAGCTTTACTTCTTTTAAACACCGTTTATCATGAGTAAAGTTTGAAGGTGCCACGCGAGACAAGATGCGAACCGTGTTTTGAGCCGACCTTCATTTCTTTATTGGCACTTTAAGACAAGTTTTTTCCTTATTATTTTTCTTGGCGCTTAGATTAACAAGTAAACAAGATGGCAGAGCACGAAAGCCTGGAGTTTGGAAAGGCAGACTTTGTGCTTCTGGACAACGTGTCAATGGAGGAGTTTATGGCCAACTTAAAACTCAGGTAAGCCTCCGCCATTGCTCACCTTCCCTGAGCCCCTTCAGGTGATTTCTGAAGGACTTCCACTGAACGGATGGTGCCATTGAAACACATCCCTAACGTGCTGTGAGCACCTAGTGACGTCATTCAGCAGGTGTCTGGAAATGATCCAGGGGCGTAGCCAGAGAAAAGGTGGGTCACCAAAATGAACTCGGCCTGTAAATAAAATAAATGGAAACTGGAACAAAACGCGCAACACGACTGTGGCACAAACTTGTTAGTTCTCAAATTAAAACTTCACCAGCTTCTTTTTATAACGTCCATGTTAAAATGTCTTTTAAATGCAGTAAAGGTGTTGAAGAAGTTGAAGCTGAGCCATTAAAGTTAAGGCCCCGGTGAGTGCTGTTTGGAATAAAAGCTTAAATTGGCTAAATAAAAACTAACATTTGCAAAACAGTAGCCACAAGCTAAAATAATCAAAACAGTAGCCACAAGCTAAAATAAGCAAAATGGTAGCTACAAGCTAAAATAAAACGGCTACAAGCTAAAATAATCAAAACAGTAGCTACAAGCTGAAATAAGCAAAATGGTAGCTACAAGCTAAAATAAAACGGCTACAAGCTAAAATAATCAAAACAGTAGCTGCAAGCTAAAATAATCAAAACAGTAACTGCATTTTAATCTAATCAAAACAGTAGCTACAAGCTAAAATAATCAAAAGAGTAACTGCATTCTAATCTAATCAAAACAGTAGCTAAAAGCTAAAATAATCAAGAGTAGCTAAAAGCTAATATAATCAAGAGTAGCTAAAAGCTAAAATAATCAAAACAGTAGCTGCAAGCTAAAATAATCAAAACAGTAGCTGCAAGCTAAAATAATCAAATCAGTAGCTGCAAGCTAACATAATCAAAACAGTAGCTGCAAGCTAAAATAATCAAAACAGTAACTGCATTCTAATCTAATCAAAACAGTAGCTGCAAGCTAAAATAATCAAAAGAGTAACTGCATTCTAATCTAATCAAAACAGTAGCTACAAGCTAAAATAATCAAAAGAGTAGCTGCAAGCTATAATCAATCAGTAGCTACAAGCTAAAATAATCAAAACAGTAGCTGCAAGCTAAAATAATGAAAACAGTTGCTAAAAGTTAAAACTTAAGCTAGTATGCTGTAGTAGACCTGGACGTTTTTCAACAGTTTAATTAGCTCTCCATTTCAATGTGGGAAAATTGTAAATTAAATTGATTATTTTAAAAAAGTATAAAGGTTAAAAAAAACTAAACAACATTGCCGTGTTGTCCTCAAAGAGCTGAACGTTCTGATATATGTAAATGGTTAAAACTGTACATAACGCACTTCCAAACTATAAACTGATTAAAAACTTGGCACTCACACAAATATATAATTTTAAAGAGTATGAAAACTACATCAGGTAATCGTTGATGTTGATTTAAACTAAAGCAACTACTGGTACTTACAAAGTTATGAAGACTGGACAAAAAATGAGCAACGTACAGAACAATTTTCTCATTTTGATGGTAATTTTCCTTCAAAATGTTAAAATTTGTGAGCACCTCTGCCAACTATGACGTCTGTTTACCTAAGAAAACAGATCACAAGCGTCCATGTGTTTATTGCAAAGTCAGCTGTGTTTTGTTTACATTGAGCGTGGGCCCGCATTTCAGAATTGCTTTCCAAATATCCGGAAAACTACCGGAGTAAACTCTTTGAAAACTGCACCATTCAATATGGCACGACAGGTGACAGGTGGGGTTAGAAGAGCAGCGGGTGTTCGGTATTTATCAGTTTATTAGTTTGTGTCTGCTGGATCAGTCGGCGTGGTTAGAGCTGCGTTCGTCTGATCTGCAGCAGCAGTGCAGACTGTTTACAGTTTGGATGCTTGTTCTTTTTCATGTTTTCCGCTCGGAGCGGTAAATTATTTCAAAATGCTTCGACAGGCTCCACCCAAGCCCTGCAGACTTTCCTGTTTCTGTCACTATAGAGAGTGTGACGCATGTCGCCTGAATGAAGGGAGAGTGTTTGTTTCAGATGGGCTGCGGCGTGGAATCTGCCTCCCCTGCTCACCTCTGCCATCTGTGATGAAAGTGCAAACTGATCCCTGATGTCATGTAAGAGCTTTTAGAGTCTTTGTCAGCAGCGCTGGGCATTCAGCTGTGCCTCCTTTTTCACAAAGTCACGTTTGTTTTAATGAGGGCGGCACGGTGGCACAGTTTGTAGAGCTGCCGCCTCTCGGAAAGAAGGTCACCGGATTGAATCCCAGCCCAGGACCTTTCTGGGTGGAGTTTGCATGTTCTCTCCGTGCATGCGTGCGTTTTCTCCAGGTACTCTGGTTTCCTTTCAGATCAAAAACATGCATGTTAGGCTGATTGGTAACTCTAAATTGTGCCTAGGTGAGAGAGAGAGAGTGAATGGTTGTTTGTCTCGTGTGTCTCTATGTGTCCCTGTGATGGACTTGCGACCCGTCCAGGGTGTACCCCGCCCCTCGCACAGTGATTGCTGGACATGGGCACCAGCGACCCCCGTGACCCAAAATGGAATAAGCGGGTAAAGATAATGGATGGATGGATAGTCCCTCGCTACTTCGCGGTTCATTTATCGCAGACTCGCTCTATTGCTGTTTTTCAAAATAAGATTGGACATGACACAATTGGCTGATTGACGGATGAGCTGCACGATCGGCATGGAATTTTTATTTAAAATAAATTATTTTAAATAATTCCGCACCTCCTGCACCTTTGTGCAGCCCACACTGCAGGATAAACTTCCTGCTGCGGCTGATCAGCTGTTCACCGTACAGAGCGGGGACGTGGGCGTGGCCAAGAGCGCTTGCAGGTGGCTGAGAGCAGCGGAGGCAGGGAGCTGAAATCATGACGTTATGTGCTCTTTTAGAGTTTAGAAACATTGTTCATAATATTGCAAGAGCGTGGGAAGGGTTTAAAACACTTTAGCATGTATATATTTAAATAATAAAATAAACTACTACTTGTACTACTTCACGGTTTTTCACTTATCGTGGGTCTTCAGGGTACGGATGCCCTGTGATAAACGAAGGACTTCTGTATTTGACCAAATCATAGCTGTTTTGGCGTTGGCTACGATTAGCGGTGGCTAACTGACTCAGTAGCTCAGTCGATAAGTCACGGTGGCCATTTTGAATTGCGTCGACTCGTCTCCAAGAGTTAATCAGCCTTGTGCGGTCATAGATTGTTCTGAAAGCTTCAGTAAAATCCGTTGTCTTCGTGAGATATTTCACTAACGTGCAGAGTTGACTCCAGTAATTGTGTGTTTGTTGCGTACGCAGAGTATTTAATGCACCACTGGACAGATTTCCGTGAAACTATCAGAAAGCAGAACTTTTGGAGCCAAACAGCATCGAGATGACTGCAGTTCATTCTTAACTTACACAGAAATGGCTCTAAATTTGCTAATTTTACAGATCCTGAGCTAACGTTTGCTGCTGACACATAATTAATTTGTATTTAAATGATTTTGGTCTTAATGTGTGTAACTGAGAGTGAAGAGTGCCGGATGCACAAGTGAACCTGTGTCCAAATGACTGAGGTTCTGGTTAGCTGTTTTTACAGCCACGCTTGTTAAATTGGATCAGAGTGTGTGGTGTGAACAGTAGCTGTGGCAGCACCGAGCCTCGTTTACCCCCCCGCTCCCCTTCTTTTCTGTTTTCCCTCCAGCTACATGGCTCGGTCCGGAGGTGGCGTGTGAAGATTGTTATTTGTAGAGGGTGTGACCAGCCAGGAGCGCTTCCTTTCCCCTCTAGTCTCAGCGTGCGCACGCTCATGGAAGCAAGCACTGGTGTTTGAGTCGCAGCGAGCCGCTTACAGAAGGCCGTCTTCACCGTTCTCCAAAACAAGAGGGGCTGGAGCACATCTGCGCCGTGTGTTTTAGCTTCACAACAAATTCAGCTCACTTAACCCACGCATTGAGCTGCTGGGCCACGCGCTCCAGCAGCTTTACAGCTGTTCACTCTTTTATTTATTTTAGTTTAATTTGAAGTCGGTCAGAAAGAACTTGAGTTCAAGCAGCAGCTCGGCGAGTTTCTCTGGCCAACGGGGGATTTTTACTGTTATTAAAGACTCGGCATGCGGCGCTGCTGATCGCATCCCCCTGTGGCAGCAATCAGGGTGTAATTTAGAAAAGTGTGCTCCTATCCAGACACGGTTGTTCAAGCTGACTTCTACTTTGTTTTGACTGGAAGTTGAACCTTGCGGCCTGTTCCATGGAGCGCACCGTTCCCAAAATAGAAGCCCGGTCTTTTTGCGGAGATGCCTGGAAAGATAAAAGTTCAAATGCTTTTGGGGTCTTGGGAAATTTGTGAGCAGAAAAGACTTTTGTCCAAAAACAGTGTTTTATCCAAAAGACCTAAATTTACATCCTTAAACACATCCACCTCTTTACTGTTTCACAAATAAATTGTTAAAAACACAGAAGAAATAATGAAACTTTCCACACGGGCTTGTTTCCTCTCAGTCACACAGCGATACCATCACGGGGGTTAGCGGGGAGTTTATTGTCTTGACTAAGAACATTTAAATATGCAACGTGTTTGGGGCATTGAACCAGTTAGAAAACCATTTATGATTGCTCAACATGTGAGAAACAAGTTTAAACAAAAATTTCCAAAGTTAAATATTCAAAAACACACGGAATGACGTCAACTAGATTCTCACTCTGACTATTCTTTTTTTCTGTTGTGTTACAGAAAATAATATTTTGACCTAAAATATGAGCATGGACAATCATAGATCTCATTTTATTTACATTTAATATGTGCTGGGGTATCGGCTAATCCTGCACCAAATTTTATGTCAACATCTGTAAAATTCTCAGTAATATTCATTTTAGTGTTTAATTTGATTTTAAAGTCAGTTTTCTGTTGCAGCCAGGGGCGATTCTAGAATCTGACCTTAAGGGGTGCTTAGCCCCCAGTGTTGAAAATGGCTCTTGACTTGAATAACAGTGGCCACTGGCATCAGAAACATTTGCAATGT